AAGCAAGCATTTTTGAGTGTCATTGTAGTCCGAGGGATAAACGTCTCTTAACGATATAAACAACATTGTTCTGCCAAGGTCTTTTTTCTTTTGCTGTTTTTTTTACATTGACATTTGTAAATCCTTATCTTCATTCGTTAGCCGCGATCTCCAAAACAGACGATGACCTAGAAAGCGGTATTTCGTTGAAATACCTGAAACCAGGGCTAATACGGAATAAATATCTCACAGACCAATGAGGGTCTTACTAAAACTAGCTTTACAGTATTATTTTCAGTGGTCAACTCCTATAAATTTGTTCTGAAAATATTGCACCGAAAACGCCTACTATGATATCCCGCCCAGCATGAGATTTGGGAGCTCTGTGGCCACTCATGTTTTCTTGCTAGCATGTTTACAAAATTGTTATATGTATGCCATACACTACCACGCTTTACTGTTGAAAATTAATGTTGTCTCAAATCAGGTTTTGCCATTTTTTCCTAAAAATCAATCTATAAATTGAATACTATTGTCTGTATATAAATAAATAAACGCACAGATTCTCGTTTCTAAGAAAATATGAAATAAAGACAATGAAACTATGCCATTTTTGTAACAACATGTTCATAGCCAAATGCCAGTTTTATTGAAGTATTGTTTCATTAGAATGTCAGAACAAAACTATACATAGAAATCGTAAGTCATGTAAATATGTTGAATATTCGAAAGTGAAGAAGTTTTAAAATCATTATCGGGGCCAAAAATGGTTTTTGCTGTTTACACTATTTAGAGTAAATCGAACATATTCAGCATATAGGGTCTGTTAAATATGAATATTGGCAATTACAAACGACGTCATAGTTACGGATTACATTTATTTCAGTATCTCAATAAAGTTATCACTCAAAATTTGTGTCGAATGGGCGATCAATTTTGAGATAGAGTAGCTATGGACGTTTTACAAAATGGAAATTTATCAATTATGATACAATAGTTAAACAACAAATCAAAATAATGACGATAAACGAAATTTTACGATATCGCGATCAAAGTCAAAATCAAATAGACTGGCATTTGAGCTATTGAATGGAGATACCTCAGCTTGTCGGTTTCAGTTCCATATGAAAAACTTTAACATGACAACCTAACAGCAAGTTGTACATACTTTGATCTTTGGTGGGCCGTAACTCCTACATGCGCATTTGCCGCAGTCAGTTTGTGTACCGCAATGTCCTTTTCGTAGACCATTCAGCAAACCCCAATATACTCGGATGTTTGCATCGGAACATTCCTTGTAAGGCGTTGTGAAATCCTTCTACAGCGTTTGTTGTTCTTGGGGCCGAAGGCATCATTTCAATCTCTTTGGCAATAGTTCCACAATCGAGAGGGAAATCTTGCTTCTCTTGGACGTGAACCCAACTTGAGTCCACGAATGTAGGTAGATTCAAAATATTGCAAAGTTGATTGCATTCGGGCGAATCTTCGAAGGTGTCGCAAAGCAAGGTGAAGACTTCGGCAACCTCGTCATGGGAACAAAAGCCAGAGCTGCCAAACTTCTAATTTTCAGATTGAAAGAGGGTTAAACATTCAAACTTTCTCTCTTAATCCGATAGAACCAAGCTTTTCGAATTATAGCTTGTGACAGGTGAAAATAACATCCTTTAATATCGGCCAGAGGAAATAGTGCATGGAATGCATTGATAGCTTGCTATTTCAAAATCAACTATGATTTTGGTGGGGTTAGCATTTGGGAAAATGATTTTCAACACTTCCAACATCTGAACGTATGTTTCTTGTCGCTTGTCTCGTAATAGGAAATATACGCATGGTGGATAGGATGCGCCCACTTTACAGTGAATTGTATACAACTGGAAGAAAATATCGGGCACCACATCAAATGTACCGTCGCCAAGATATGTGTCACTTCTAGATGTGCAAGTAGTGATCGATCTCCAATGGCCATTATCCGATTGACGATCCTCCGGGCCAGTGTCATGCAAAATGATATCTAAATATTCGCTCGGAATATCAAAGCTTGCACTGGTAGGATTCGTACGTGAACAATTTTCTGTCGCCCCACTCTGCGTATATTGGCCTCCAGAGTCGACTTGCCTGGCAAGCGCATTAGTACATCTGTTGATCTATTATTCAATACTTCACCTAAAATATATCTTGTCGATGTATTTGATGGTGTTGATGCTGCTTCTTTTAATGTTGCACGGATGATCCCAACTTCAGTCCTAATGCTGTCGCCAGAATGACTGTGATATCCTAGTTCTTTTATTACATTTTCACCGATCGTAACAACAGTCGATTTACATCGAAATTTCTTAAACTGACGGCAGCGCCAATGAGTAGCATCTGAAACCCGATCATTTCGCTTACAATATTCGTGGCCTTTGTAAATCAGTAGGTCATTTCCTCTCGTGGTCTTGGAAAATGTAGGCGCCATGTTTCCAACTTATTTTCGCAAAGGGACTTGTCATCTTCGCAGCTGCAACGTCCTGAAGAAACAGTTTGGAATTGTCTGCGAGGGAAAAAGGGCATTGATGCGAGGAAAAACTTTGCGCGGGATCGAACTATCTGCGAGGGAAAAAGGGCATTGATGCGAGGAAAAACTTTGCGCGGGATCGAACTAACACATCAATTAAAATCCTTGCTCGCGCTCTTCAAGAGTCGTCGACCGTTCAAAGCACAAATCATACTCCCCAATTTTGGCTCGCATTCTCCAGCGAAACATTTTGTCCATTGAGTCTTATGATATCGACAATTGCGATGACAATGACAGACGGAGTATAATATAAATATATAATATAATTTAAATATATAGAAAATAGTTGTAATAAAGCCTTCGAGTATATAATCGAGAATTCCATGGTGTTTTCGCAACGTATGCATTTGGAGAAAGAATCCTAAGTGTACCTTCCAATCCTATATACTATAGTATATAGAAGGGGTGGCCAACGTTCTTTCGACCGCGATCGACTAAAATCTTCAAAATAGATCGCGATCGACTGATCGGTAATAAAGTCCCACACAAAAACGAATGGGCGCTGGATATGCAGATAACTGCACACACGCATACAACAAATTCGCAAAATCGACACAAAATTTGTATTTTTTTTTTGTTCCATTTGAGTTGATTCAAATATTTTGTACCCGGAGTAAATGTGTTTCATTATTTATTTAAGATTTATTCAAATCATACAATTCAGATAAAAGGCGCGACTAATTTTTAGTCGTAAGTGTTGAAAATTCTTCAAGAAACCTTGCCAGGTATTATCCGAATAGCGAAAAATAAATATTCTCAAACCATGAATGTTACATGACTGCTCAAACTTCAGTATCTAATTTACAATTTCCTCCAAACGCGATTCTTCGCTTGCTTAGAATTAGAACAAATTGGGCAATAAAATTTATCACACTACTCTTGGAGTGAGACAATAACTTTCGCATACTGCCGTTATTGTAGAATCGTTTGTCAATCTGGACCAGGGTTACAGATCCCAGTGATGAAAAAAAGCCAAATCAAGACAGAAAAAGCCAACAATTTTAACAAGTACAAAAACCTCATGATTTGAAACTCCTAGCACAATAGTGGATTTACACAGTTCGCAATATGCTGATTTAGAGCCAGCAATTGATTTAGTGAACCACATCAAATGCTAAATCCTAAAATTTATAGTTTTTGTTGCTATAATGACGATTTCCACCTCAGCACGATCAAGGGTTTACAACTAAGAAGGATTTTTGAATGGCAGAATTAGAATGAAGGCTATATCCGGCATAATACAGTCAAGCTGACATCTACATAAAAAATTTAGAAACATCAAAAAGCCAAACGGACATTCTGACGTCAAACGTGTTTCAAAGGGTGACCGTACATTTGAACCAATGTACGCATGGACATACAGGTGCAATTGTCATGGGTTCAAATGTACGTGGGTTCAAATTTAATAGAACCGTTTCAAAGAAGCCAAAATCGTGAATTTTGTCGAAGAAGCCATTATGGCAACCCTGGTCTAGACACGCGATATACATTTTTAAACCTTGACAGCGGAAAAACTTGCATTTGTCACGTGATAATATGCTTTAATGGGCTTGCTCAGACTCAAATACTGTATGTGTATATTGTATTTTACGCATGTGAAGTACTGTATTTCCTGTTACAAAACACACAACTGGTTCGAGGCAATTTTGGGGGATATTTGAGGCATTGTTTGAGGATATTCCAAATAAAATTCACTCAACATCAGACGCGATCGACTGCTCGAGACGTGGCGATCGACCGGTCGATCGCGATCGACATGTCGGCCACGCCTGGTATATAGCATGAAAGGATAAGGGTGTATATGTAAAGACGCTAATATCCGTAAATGCAAATGCCCATGGGTGTAGATGTTCATGGGTGCAAATGTCTGTGGGTACAATTGTACGCGGGTGTAAAAGTACGCGGGTTTAAATGTATATGTCCGCGGGTGCAAATGTACATGGGTTCAAATGTACGCGGGTGCAAACGTACACGGGTTCAAATGTCCGCGGGTGCAAATGTCCGTGGGTGCAATTGTTCGTGGGTTCAAATGTACATGGGTTCAAATGTACATGGGTTCAAATGTCCGCGGGTTCAAATGTCCGCGGGTGCAAATGTACATGGGTTCAAATGTCCGCGGGTGCAAATGTACGCGGGTGCAAACGTACACGGGTTCAAATGTACGCGGGTGCAAATGTACATGGGTTCAAATGTACGCGGGTGCAAACGTACACGGGTTCAAATGTCCGCGGGTGCAAATGTACATGGGTTCAAATGTACGCGGGTGCAAACGTACACGGGTTCAAATGTCCGCGGGTTCAATCTATATGCGGGTGCTAAAATCCATGGGTGGAAATGTATGGGTTCAAATGTCCGTAGGTGCAAATGTCCATAGGTGCAATAGTATACAGGTGCAATTGTCCTGGGTTCAAATTACGGGTTCAGATGTACGGGTTCAAATGTACGTAGGTTCAAATGTGCTGTCACCCCTATCAGCTTTTCCCGATCGTTTGCCTGCAAGATACGACGGTAATTATGTCTATTACCTATTTCTAAGTAATATATAATACTTTGGCCCAATTTCTTGTGATTTGCTGCCCAATTTCATATTGTAATATAACATAAGTCATACACATAGTCTTTTTTTCAGGAAGAAATGGAAATTATAAATATATTCTTGTGTTATACCATATTTCGCATGTGACATGCAAAGGTAATTATTTGTATTCTTTAATAATGAGTAGTCTATATTATTTTTGCTTAACTTCCTCTCTTTTGCTGTTGAATTTAACATAGCAATATAACGACATACAGACATAGGCCTTTGTTTTCCGCTTTAGGACGGAATATCAATGATAAAGAGAATAGTGAATGGCTGAATTTCAGATACAACAATGAATCTGGAAGGTTGTACATACAAGATAAGTACACATTGTTTGAATTATGTTAGAATTCAAGTATGAGTAATTTAACCTAGAAAAATTTTACTACTAGCGATAGATGCTTAATCAGTTTTGACCGAGCTCTTTGCTTATTAACCGCGCGTCTTTTGTCACGATTATTTTAAGAGAAAATAGGTATTTGTTTGGTGTTATCAAAATCATAATTTTTAGCATCGTTATTTTTTGACTGTGTAGTTTAGTAAGCCTCGACATCTACCCACCGCTTGTATCGTAGTCGTAGTTTCACGGATATGTCGATTATTACCGAAGTTTACATTTATCCTGTGTCACAAGCATGTTGTATGTATGACATTGTATGGGTCTTCCGCGCGAGAGAAATTCAATCAGCTTATGGCTGTATGTCCTTCTCTATCGCAAACGAATTGCTTCTAATATTGGTTCGATAAAGAATATTTCTATTTTCTGATTATCGTTGTCTGGTTGAACTTTCGCTTAGTACGACTTGCGTTTTTCCAACTTCACTGAAAATATATTTTTTTTATTATTCCGGATGTTGAGTGGCCTATGGTATTTGAATTGATTTGTAAGATTATTAATTTTCACTGTCATTTATAAATTTCTCTAGCTTTCCAGTTCTAGTTAGATTCGTAAATCGGCCTGATTTTAGGGAATTTCGTCTTAAGAGGGTTTGATATTTGTTTGTAATCAAATGATTGATAGTAAAAACATCACAACATGCATCAGAATGAAAGAACGATAATGTTAATCAATCTCCAAAATTCTTTTTTGTATGCCATTGCGTAAAGCATTTTTTATCTCGAGCTGCACGAAGATTTACGCTACATTCGCACAAATTATACGCGTGCTTGTAACTTATTCAGGGCCACCCCTTTTTATGCGATTATTTCACAGAGCAAACCTTGCAGTTTCGCACGTCTTTACTTGAATAATGGTGAATGCACCTCTGTGTTTTGAAGTCTCTAGAGCAGGCCTGGGTAAGTTGCGGTCCGCGGGCAGATCCGGCCCGCTGAAACGTTTCATCCGGCCCGCAAGCAGGTTTCTAGTTTAGACACTTTCTTTTTTATTTACATATAAAATATACTTAACTGAGAACAAACGGAATTTTGATAATGAAAAAGTCGGTGAAAACGTTCAACTATTTTTTTTAATTGCCGATTGCTATATATGTCTTGTATACGGAACTGTGGAACCATTGAGAAAAACGAGTTTTTATATAGTCATCGGCGACGCCAATAAAAATACTAGAAATTGAACACAAACAAGTTTTGATTTAGAAGGCCCGTTGACAGATTAAAACCGCTGTTGTAGAAATTGGAAATTGAAAATTTTCTGGTGCCGACGACACACATTTTAATTGGATGGCTTTCGTGCGGGCGATGTACATTTTGAACAACTTTAAAACTACCGACGGGTCCTAATATATATGATTATTAATGTTAAGTAAATTCAATCGATTTTCATGATACTAATTATACTCGGTGGGGTTCTATCGCGGATTTTTATGATGGCAAAATTTTTAAAACAGAGCTAAATCGCTGTTGCATTTTTACCTCTTATTTTCATATCCGCGGAGTGCGATGGTATTTCAGAGAGCAATGCTTATATTTTCAATCAATCAATCAATGATGGTAGTCAAGGAAACCGCGGGTTAAGTTGAAAACAATAAAGCAAGACATTTTAATGTACCCTTATCAATACATTTTCAATATACTCGTATCGAAAATAGGTATAAAAACTAAGTATATTCCGGCAGTTGATCTTATATTTTTATATTCGCAGATAGCCGTGGTATTTTAGAGCAGTGAATCCAGATTTAAGCTCGCAACGCCTTCCAACTCATCAAAATTTTCCGCGACCAGTGTTCACGTTAAAAGTGCGATGATGACAGGAAAGTTACATGAATCACGATGTTTTTCCACCGAAGGCATGGTCCTAATTCCGCATTCTTACTCACTCTTCAGCATTAATGATAAAATTCGGCATTGTTATGCAAGCGTGCCGATTCTCTGATCCTATGTATTGTCTCAAAATCTCGAGATTTATGTTTTAAACATGTTTAAGAATATTGCCTCGTATAAAAGTTCTAACTAACAAAGTAAAATATATATAGTACTGGTTTTATTCAAATGTGTAATAAAATACAATAAAAACGCGCGATTGACTTTACTTAGTCCCGGCCCGTCACTGCATTTTAAATATTCAATGTGGCCCGATACCAAAAATAATTGCCCAGCCCTGCTCTAGAGCGCCGTGGTGGCACAGGCACATTCCTGAAATTCAGAAGCAATTTTGTCACTAAATCTTTTTGCCATTCTAATGTCACTGTTTCAATAGGCCCATATGAATCAATTCTAGCTTCTGATGCATAGTTCAAATCAAATCAAATAAAACCAAAAATTTTTTTTTCGGTTTTCTCAATAAATCGCACGGAGTTTGATCGCGTATATCACTAGAGCAGGGGTGCACAACCTTTTTGCTCTTGGCGGCCACATTGCATTTATATGAATTCAATACGGCCGCAAGTGGTTTGATGCGAATTTGTTTTTGGCTTTTATGACGTCATAACCGCGTATTTGACCCATGCGAGGTGCAGTCTGCCCAATTATAAAGTATGTAGGATTACTTGGAAGTATAATATTCGCATTTTAAACGGAGTTTTCCTTTCGGTGGACCAATTCTTGAGCAGATATATTCCAGCAAGTTGCATCAGTTTGAAAAAAAAATCGAAAGTCAGGGAGGTGGAGAGGGGCGGTCGCTTCCATTTTCTTGTCCTCAAAAGCATAATAAAATGTCAAATCTTTTAATGAATTTATTCTAGAAAAGTTCGCGAAGCATTGTAGCAATTTAATGACTCTCTTGGTCTTGCATGTGGGCAGATAAACTTGCAAAGTCAGGAAACTGGCTGGATAACATCAGCCTTAGTTCAGACTCCAGGTTGACTAACAATCTGGTTCGGTACTCATTCTTCAGGTACGTCATTCTTGAAAAGCACGTGTAAGTGCTTCCAAAAAGAACGAGAGTTTTTCTTGCCAATTCTCAGGCTTGTCCATGGGAATGGGAAACGTCCCATGGGACACGAAAACCGTATGATTTTCGAGGGAAATGATGGTAAAACATTTCGTTATAGATTTCGTGTCCATATATTTCATATTTTCATATATATAGCTCTCCTGTTAGTTTTAAAGGCAAAATATATTCAGCATTAACAACATAGTTCGTGAGGGGCTGATGGACACATGCATAATAGTTATGAATATAAAGTTAACAAAGTCCGTAAATTTTGATGTTTTGCATGTCTCTTCATACATGTAGTCCTATTTAGTAGACGCTAAAACTAAATTTAACTAATTTATATTGAATTTTATTTCAATGGGAATCCCATGGGATGGGATAGCACAGGCGTAATTTCCGTGGGATGAGATGGGAAAGGGACAGTAAATGTGTCCCATGGACAAGCCTGCCAATTCTTGTAGCACCGGATATTCAACTGCGCCTTTCCATGTGTCCAGCAGATTTTCCTGGTCTTAAACTTCTACACAAGCTATTCATCATTCTTTTTGCACCAGCATAGCCGCCAATTCCCATATTTTGAACTTTTTTCTGTTCATAGGATTTTGTATGTTGACGGCCGCATTATTTTGTCATGACGGCCGCATGCGTCCGTACGACCGCATGATGTGCACCGTTGCATTAGAGTTTAAATACGCTGGAGGTATTTCATTTTCGCTGTATGCAATTTTTTTAACACGGCCTGTTTGAGTTCATCATCCGGTTATGTGGGGCTCGATGTTCTGAACAAATCCGCTCCTATATTATTATCAATCACTGATTTATCTAATACAGCTAGTACTAAATGTCGGCGTAGTGGTCTTCAGTGATTTGACGGATTCGTGGATAGCTTTTGTAGCAGGTCTGCTTTTCAGTGTACATGTTGTACGTCTTTGTTGTATGTTGCTGAAGGGTAGGAGTAAGCACGAACTCATTTTGCGACTTGATAGTAATTGATGATTAGTCGTAACTGCTGATCGTTCGTATTCGATTACTTGTGTCGGTTGAGTTGCTCGCTGGTCTGACTCTTTAAAGAAGGTTAGTGTTTGTGATATGATGATACATGTAATTCTCGAGCCATGTATTTTTTTATGCATAACTATTACTTTTCTTTCTACTTAAAGTACATACTTAAAATCCAATATTATTATACAAATCAAAAGAAAATAAAGTATGAAAAATACAAACTGCTGCGTTCCCAAATACACGGAAGTGATTTTGAAAGTAAGTGTGATAACACTAACTACTTAAACCTCTTTGACCGATTGATTATTTTTTCAATAAATGTTTAGTTTTCACAGGAAATGTACGAGTGGCTGGATGGCTTCAACTACACAATTCCACACTTTAAAAAGTTTTTCATACGCGATGACGATGAGTACACGTCCAAGAATTTCCACGAACTGAAGCAAATAGAGGATGATTATAAAAACAAACCAAAACAAACCATGATGAATTACATAAAAGATTTTTTATTGCACGTCATGTTGATCAACTATGACTTCTTGGCTGCTGTAGTTCAACCAGTGTTCTGGTTTGAAGAATACTTGAAACTCTAAGACTGATAATATTAACACTTTGTCTTGAGTTTTTTTTAACATTTCACATTTACATTTGTGTGTTTTATTTTTTACTCGTTTGTCATATAATACTTTTTTGAGTGTTTCATAGTGGGATAATAAATGTAAAAATACTGTCTTTGCAATTTTTCGAATGACCGATTCTGCGGTACTCTCAAACTATTTCAATAAAATGTTTCACTCACACTAATCTTTAGTAACCAACAATTACAAATTAAAAGAATAATCGTACTGAATTTTTCTCTTACGCGCATTTCAAACAGTGTTACCCTGGGTCGTAGCTAAGTATTAATAAGTAAGCGCGAAAAAATGGCCGGGTCGACGGGAAATTGGAGGAAAATGAGCTTTGACGTCACTTAACGTATGGAGCGGTAATCACTACTGTAGACTCTCGAACTCGGAGGATTCCAATTTCATATAGTTTTAAAAGACTACTCTGATTCTAGCAAAAACATGCCCGACTAAGCACTTCTTGTTTAGAAGGATTTGGAACTGTTGTGTTGAGCCATTACCGAAACTGATAAAATTATTTGGGCAAGTGCGGTTCACGAAACATCTCGTATAAACTTTACGCACGGTCAAGCAAGTTCTCTCGAGATCTAACGCATAGGTTCTCAAAGTGCTTCGTACGGAGCCCCAGCGCTCCGCTAGAGTAACCCAGGGGCTCCGCGAGCTATTCGATTACTTTTCAAAATACTGACTTGGCTTGGCTATTTAAAACTGTTCCTAGAAGCAATAACAGCTTTGATGAAATTTGACAACAATATAGCCTCGAAACATGGCAAATGGGCGGAATTTAAAAATGACATTATTTATAAGCAGGAGCGCCGCCAGGATTTTTAAAGAGGGAGGAGGTTCAAAATTGGAATCGAAAATTTATGCGCAACATTCTTGGCGATTTAAAAAAAAAACGGATAACGAGATTTCTGTTGCGTAAAATATTCAATTCATGACCGATGCGAGCATCTAAAGTGTCTTGTCGTAATAATTTAATTGTGCTCATCGTTACTCGCGTTCGGTTCGAAATTACTATTAAGATTACTAAAATGATAAAATACTATTCTAAAATAACATAAATTGCGTGATAAACTGCTAACTATAAATAAATTGGGAGTCGTATTTTTGCGATCTTGGGATTTGTGAAACTTGATTTGTTCTTTCGCACTCGAGATTATTTTTAAGCAAGATGTCGCCGTTTGAAAAATCACAAGGTCTTGGCAAAATACGAACGATTGAAAGTTAATTTAGTGCATGCGGCTCTGTCGGTACTTTCAGTTAGGAAAAATGGTACATCGCGCGCATAATTAATTGACTGTGAATTGAGTGCTACGATGAATAACCGAAAACCTAACATAACACCAAATTTTATGATTTACGATGTCTATAACAGCGTTTTCATTCTGACGTGAGTCTGCTGAAACAAAATTTATAGTGTTATCTTCCATTAAGTTTTAGTTCTAATATTTTAGAATGCCAATGCCGCTTCTTAATCAAGAAATTTGAATTGCGGATTTACCTCTTTATTGACTGTTATTTTCAGCATTTCGTCGCCGATGATTATAATATGGTAACATGTTTTTCACATTGAACTCATAATTCCCCACGAGAACGAAAAAGCAATTGTCATTGTGGAGCAATACATGTATATGCCGGAGGAAATTTTTTATTTAGGGAGAATATACACCGGCGTAAAGATGTTTGAGGTTTAAAAACACGCCATGCTGACGAAAACAATCGGCGATTGTAACAAAATGCAATCGCGTACGTTATTAGCGGCCTTTGAAGTCTTCCAAAAATGTCAAGAGGGTATAAAGATTCGACTCCTAATTTATTTATAAATATGTTTGTCATGTGTCAAATTTATAGCTTTAGTATATACAATTTATCTTTGAAATTTAGATTTTTTTATGACTTGTATTAACCCTATTAAAAGTGTTTAATATTTAAATTGAGTAAAGTACGTTTAACTTACTCAGGAATATTAATGGGAAAGTAACAATTCTAACATTTATTTTGGGGCTCCGTGAATAATAGTCAATCTTTTCAAGGGCTCCGCAACGCCAAAAGTTTGAGAACCCCTGATCTTACGCACGGTCGTCGTTGACAAAAACCACTGTATGATCACTCAACCATATAACTCACTGCCGCTGCCCGCCCGGCGCGGATAAGCCTATTTTGCAATGATCTCTGTTCTACTTTTTGCAGCCTGTGATTTGATTTAAAGTTTGGGGAATATAGCAGTAATCTATGGATGAATGAAATAAATGCTGGAGTATATATAGTTAAACTACTTCTGTAACAGACAGTAAAATAGATGAATATATAATCCCATATTTGATGTTAGTACGGCGTTAGTTGGCATATGTAGGTGTGTCCACAGCTACTAGACTACAGTCACTCTTACCTAAGTTAGGGATTTTTGATACCAAATATTCACGAAGTATGCAAACACCACAGCATTTGTTGGGGTGCATGTCGCACATACTTGTCTCTATCACATCGCAAAGGGTACAATGAATTAGTAAACAATGTCGACCGGGAAGCTTCCGATCTCTCAATATAGTATATTATATATCAATGGCCGCTTATACAAGGCCTTGTTAAGAGTGAAAACCGTTCTATGAAGTCGTGCAAGCAATGCGTATTCATTCCCTTGTCCCAAAGCCCGACGTCGTCGAATGATTCAACCTTCAATTTTAAAATAAGTATTTATTAATATATTAAACATACAAAGTCTCGTAAGGAAGAGTTTTGAGATAACATTCACTGGTTGCAAAAATGTATGTTTAGTCACTCAATAAATGTCACAGAATAAAACCTAATGCTCTTCGGTCTGGCGTCCCATATAAGAACATATAAAAATAGTATCACAATTACAAGGAAAGGATAATTACACAGTTTTACTGGAGAAGAGAAATCACAGAGAACCAAAACTGGTTATCGAGCAGCGACACCAAAGGGTCTAATACCTGATTGAACATTTTTTAGAATTCTAGAATTTTGAAACTACTGATAATGCCGGCGGGTTTCCTCTTAAACACCAACAATCGTGTAAGAGGTTTAGTTGAACACATATATATATGTAAAGTACCAACATAGAGTTCAAAGTCATAGTCTTGCTAAAAGTGAACGCGTCGGTAACTGATTTGGAACTTGCCCACGTTTTCTTTGAACTGTCTTGGTTGAGTTTGATTTGAGACAGACGAGCTATTCATTCTGAGATCATTGGCTTTATTTATTCATTTTTTATTCGGTTATTCTGAAATGAAGTCTAATTTTGGTTCTGGTCTTGAGCGATATATCATTATCGACATGATTAAGAAAAGGTCTTATAAAAAAGGTACAAATAATAAACTAGGTTTGGAATGTGGAGAATTATATTTAAATAAATGCCGACAGTCACGTATTTAAATATGTATTGAATTAAATCGAATCTCGTGGCTTTTGACACTAGAATTCCAGTTTTATGGGAATTAGAACGAACAATCTCTGGGACATATTTGAAGGACTGTCGGAAAATCGTATACTGAATAATAACGAGAATATCGGTCGGAGATCGAAACTGCGGTTTCGATTCATGACTTCACTTCATAGTGACACCGCGCGTCCCATCACTAATTAATTAATAACTCGCTAATTATACGACATAATTCATCCGAAATCAATAGGCTTCTGGCCCGAGATATGATGAATGCACATGCAAAATTTAGAGCAGATTCAACCTCGCTTTCGCGAGATATCGCGTGCATCTAACAGACAAACAGACAAATACCATCAACATACTTACCGATCTTAAGATCAATAAGTAATGAGTAAAATAGAAAAAAAGTGTCCAGTACGCTACAAATCTGCACAATATAGAGGCCATGTTTGAAACTCTGACGAAAAATTGTATAATGGATAACAATAAGTAAAATAGATAAATTATGAAAAAGGTGTTTTTTGCATTTCTGGAGTTCAAATCCAACAAAATTTATTTAAATACAGGTTAGGCAAAGCATTGTTTCCATTATTCATTAAAAAACATTCCACGGAAAATTACAAACGGCCACCGAGATGATAACATCAACATTCTTATACCAATGATGTATTTGATAAACTGAACTTTATAATTAACAAATGATAATAGAATGCGTAAATGGATGGAAAATAAAGCAGATTTGGATAGCTTTTTATTTCATTGAAAGTTTTATTTGGTCAAAATTATTTAAATGGGTTACGAAGTTTTTTAGTATTTACGATACTAAGTAATCATTCGAACGGCATGAAACATGAAACATTTCTGTTCAATTCAAACAGGAAATAATTTGACGGCAACAAATTATTGCGTATGAAGTCATTGCAAATTCCACGAATAAATAAGTAATGGAATCGCTTCGTAGTACAAAGTCGGTCGATGAAAAAATCTTTCACTGTTTTGTTGCACAATATTTGTTTTCTGACTTTTATGCAACGTTCATATACGTTGCTTTATATCCGCTTTCTTTTTCCTGAGGTATTGCCCTGATTTGCACTTTCTCGTATCCGTCAGTTGCTTGTCGTATCTCTTCATATCCGCCAGATGGCGCAGATTGAACCTCTTCGTAGCCATCGGTACCTGAATATATTATTTTGGAATTCATATTCCTTGTTGTAGTAGGGTAGTACTGTATCAACCTTATTACCCTACTCTGCAGAAAAGTTGGAAACTGATCTTGTTACTTGCCTGTGGGTTCGAATGAAATCTAATAACAAATATTGATAGTTCGAAATAAGATGAACACTGCTGGAATCCGAAACTATCTAAACTGGGACGGAAAACCAAGCAGTAACATGGGAGTTGTTCCGCTGACATACAAGTGATATTTATTATGGCAATAATGAGCGTTGAGGGACCAAAATAAAAGCCAGAAAATTTTGATATGGTTTGCTGCGAAATATGCAACTTTCTTTCATATCCCAATGGTGTCTTTAAAAGTAATAACACCTACCTGACGTTCCGTTTTGACTCGTAGAAATGATATTTCCCATCTCAGTAGAATTAGCTGTCCCTTGTGCTGTGTTGACATGGTCTGAGCGTTGTGATCTTTGAAAATATTACGTATATGATATTAAATCAGCGTACGTGCGCAATTGTTCGATAACCAGTTTTAGTTCCTGATGGAAATTTACACGTTCAGGCCGTTTATTAGTTTCAGATGGCGATAAAATAAATATCTGATAATTGGGTTTTGCGATTTATTATTCTAATCATGCAATACTCACCGTCTTTTCATGTAGAATACAATTCCAGCCACGACAACTAGTAAAACAAAGATAAATTTTGGTATGGAGAGGAGGAGTATTAGAGTTGTTGGACTCATTCCACCTGTGTTCGTAATTCCATCAGTGTTTGTGTTGACTGTTTCTGTTGATACTAATATTTTTGGACACGTAGTGGACATAACGATCGTTTCAATATTATGTTGTTATTGTTAGTTGTCTTCGTCATTTTTAAAAAATCGCTTTTCTCTTCGAATACTGAACCAATTGCTTTGAAATTTTCAGTGGTTAAAATTTTCTCCAGAAGGCTATTACTTTTTTTCGCTATGACGTCATCAAAAATTATGTGGCTCTAACTGTTCATATATTTGAGCACAGTCCTCTTGTTGTATTTATGAAAATAACGGAATGAGAGTCTATAGCGGAAACGAACGACATGCAGGTCACGTGTGATAATATGTTACAACGAAAATGTTTTCAGGAAATATGTAAAGTCAGTAAATATGAGTCAGTATATATGAAGGGGAATTATGCATTCTCAGGCTAAGGAGAGTTATAACATTTTATGCAAATGGTAAGAGTAAGCATATGAAGTGGGATTTGGGCCATGTTCTGGGTTAGGATAAATTTAAACATTTAGATTAAATTTTGGAGACGGCATGTGAACTGGTGGTATTCATGGTATGTTATGGGTTAGGATAGATATAATACTTTATGGAAATGGTTAAAATAAGCAAATGAAGTAGGATTCTTGATATTCTATGGGTTAGGATAGATTCAAAACTCAATACGGAAATAGTGAGAGTAAGCATATCATATCTTACCTCTTGACGACTCTATGGGAGTTGTGTCGAACGTTGATTTTGTCCATGTCAAATTATTGATGAATGTAGACAAATTTCCCATTTCGATTCTTTTTGTTGGCACTGTAAGAAAGTAATTTGTATGTTTTATATGGGAATATATCTACGCACCTAGACACATTAGAAATCTTGGATTTCATCTTTGATTTGTCCATTTTCGACATCCTAATAAGTTTTATATTTTTGATAAATTCTGCTTGCATAATTGGTTTGTAGTTATTTAAAATAATAATGCAGATTAGGAATGATAACCTTAAGCAATTGCGATGTTCGTTTTTTTTCTATCCTACTGTAACAAATGGTAGTCAATCTAGCATAAATCGGATTGAAAAGAAAATATCAGGTTTTGCAGAACCCAATAGGAAGCCAGCCTCGACTCAAAAGGTTGACTTTTAAATATTGGAATTTTAAAATAAAGCTATATCTGCAAGTCCTACTCCATATCCATGTATGCAACACTTATGGATTCGTAAACAAACTTTCATTGTGAAACGAATTTTGAAGAACCAAGTCAAGACACGAAAGCATACCTTTACCATATTCGGTAAATTTTCCAATCGGGAGATCAAAATTTGGCATATACAGACAGATTCGGTTATATTGGATTTTTTTCACCCCGGGATAGATATGAACGCTATTCATGTTTAATAAATACATGTATGTTAATCTCACTTGTCGTTTCCTGCTTTTCTGGCGCAGTGGTTTCCATCATATATGTGGTAGTTTCTTCCGCAGTAGTCGTTTCAATAACAGTGGTTGTAGGTGCAATAGTTGTCGGGTAGAGTGTCGTTGCTAGAAAAAATTAAATTGATCATTTTCATTTATGCGGATTCTTTTTTTTAATTTTGTTTGTCTTTCAAAGAACATCCAACATCAGTGAAAAATGTGAAATATCGACATAACGAGCTACCATTATTTGTAATTATCAGAATATTTCTGGTTCGGAATTACTTTTCCCCAATTAGTTATGTTCTGGGTGAGGTGGTGCCTATGGTATTTAAACGCGAGGTATTGGGCCAATGATCTCAATAACATAGTGAAAGTCCTACTTCCTAACCAACAAAGCTAGTCAAATAATAATGGCGAATGTAGAATAAGAAATGGAATGAAAACGAAAAATATTCCTAAATATCCACACTAATATCTTCTAATATTTATTTGAATAACAATATCACTTTAAAATCCAGTACCTTCAATACATTCGGTAAATTTGTATTGGATTTCGAATCCCATACTAAATTGATTCGAACTGTACAACAATCCTTTAGAAGTATACCGAACTGTAACGCCCGGAGAGAATGGTTGATTGGGAGATCCAGCGCCACATGAGTCAGAATCATAGAACATCAATGTAACGTATTTTAGATTCTGGGTAGAGATGTATCTTTGGCATTCTTGTTGATCTGTGAAAAAAACTGGATTATTTTAGTGCTGGATAGAAAACTTATATTCTGTATTACAAATTGGAAAATTCATGAATCATAGAACATCAATGCAACGTATTGAATCCCGGTTCCAATGTATCATTCATTGGCAGTCTTACTAATCTTCAAAAACGAGATTATGTGAAAGTTCATTATAAGAAAAGGTTCAAAATTTATATTATAAAATTTCGCTAATCGAATAGGTAGCTTCTCTTTTCACCACGAAAAAATTGGTCATGTATTTTTTCATTATCGTGTATTATGAAAATCCGTTAATTCTGCGTATCATATTTCTTCTGGCGTCTGCTCTGTTGTTAATTTCTTAGTGAGCTTTTAGAGAATATCATTTGAGTAGAAAGTTACGTAACCGGTTATGTCATAATAAAAAAATCTGACGCCATCTTATTTTAAACCACCCCTCGGGGGGATGGATGGACTCCACTCTGAATACGCTTGTGTATCCGTTCCATTACATTTGAACCCACGTACATTTGAACCACGTACATCTGAACCCACGACAATTGCACCTGCATAGTAATTGCACCTATGGAAATTTTTTAGTTTTACGGATATTTGAACCCATACTAACCCTAATCCAAGGGTTTTAGCACCCGCATATAGATTGAACCCGTGGATATACACATGGGTTCAAATGTACGTGGGCTCAAATGTACGGTCAACTTGTGTATCTAATAGCCTTCGACTTACCATTTCTTATAAAAAGCGAATAATTTCCCGAACAGTATTTCAAGTGGAATCCACCAGCAACAAAATAGAGTCGTTGATAAACAATCGTCAGATTGAGACTGTAATTCTTCCCATCTATCGGAGGCTGGAACTCCCACAAGCATGAAGCTGATTTTCCGTATTCGTTTGGAGGATAATTCGGAGAAGTAATCTCGCCGTTCCCTTTCTTTATAACCAATGAAGTATTATCACATTGGCAGAACGCTGTCTGTAGTGTTCCTGTAAAAAAAGAAAATGAAATATAGAGAAGGTGTGGAGCCTTCGATTAACTTCGTAAAAGGCAAGGTCTCCCAGCACGTAATTTGTGTCTTCAAAAACACAATACCAAAGTATCCTATTCATGAAATATATCGTAAACACATGACGCCCGGTCTAATACCTTCTTTCGAAATCCCACTCCTTTGCTGTTTGGTCATTCAGTTATATCGCCCGGGCAGAAAGAGCAAATTTTTCTCGGGCCTGCCGGCCTTCTCTGCCTCACTTTTTGTAGTCTGTGGTTTTGAATTTGGGCCTTGTATAACAGTAGTATATGGATACATGAAATACTCGAGTTACATATTGTGACGGAGCAGGTCCGGGAGGTCAAAAAATCAGAAATTCAATTCTTTCAGCAAATGGTATTTTCTATTTCAATGTTTTAAATACCAAAATTAGGAAAGTATATTGAAACATTGGAACAGCTGAAAGATTCGGCCCCTCCTCGTAGATCGATCGCCCTTGCATTGACGACCTAGGCGCGACCCATTTTAGACCTTCCTCGACCTTCAAAAACTACTGCCCTACACGAATATCGATGTCCCTATCTGACTAATTTTAGATCCAAAGTAGAAATTCGAAGCTGATTTGTTTCTTTTCATCCGGTGTGAAATCTCAATCGAGAGTAAAGTTTTCGAATAATTTGAATCTACTTTTTCCTACATATATTTATCACTGGAATAGCCAATTCACCCACCTGCCAATAACACCATCAGAATACATTGCACTGTGGCCATTTGTACGCCAAAGGAGCAACCAAGATTGAATTACGATACTAGATTCTGGAATTACTAGATTCTGTGATGTCGGTAAAACTGAAAAATTATTTGAAACGCTTTAATTTATATAAACGAGCTTATGTGAAATGAAATTTGCATACGTTCACTTTTTTGTGAGATTTTTACTCGTGTTAATTTGAATAAAGCTCCAGACCCAAGAATATGCTCAAATAATATACGGCATGTAATGCTTTTGTGGCTGCAAAATTAATTACTGATACAAAACAATTATTTCAACATAAAAATTACTTTACATTGCACTAATGAGAAAACTGCGCTTGTTTCCAAATAGCGATTTTTCAAGAAATATCATGCCGTGACATCATTTGAGCATTGCAAGATTAATGCTGCCGAGTTTTCACGCCATGATATTACTAACATCGACAAATTATTCCAGGCAACTGTTTACCATTAAATAAAATTAACAATTTTATGTTTTTTTTTAAATCAATAAACAAGAGACCCAAAAGAATTTTTTCAGCCGACGCACACATTGGGAAGTACCGCTCTGTAGTCTACCACGCATGGGCATATTATAAACAGACAGTATAGTTCAGGGGTCGGGAACCCATGGCTCCCTTTTTCAAACGTTATAAGTATATATAAATTTACCAGAACATTTGCCAATACGTTTCGGACAACGCGCTCAGCGATTGTCTATATACCGGTAACTATGTTATGTGCATTAAGTGCCAGACATGCATTGTGACAAAACAAAAATATTTCTAAACATATTTTGTGACTCCACTAAGCGAAATAAGGAAAGGCCTTCAGTCCGTTTGTACTGTTTATTTGTAATATTTAGTACTACGGACTACGGAGATGCCTAAAACAAAAAAGGCAGGCGATGAGTATCGTCAATTCCAACATGTGTTGCACGTGAGCATTCGTTCAAGGTCTTCAGCGACAACATGCAGCATCAGAAATCACACTAAAAGTTTATTGAGACATTGTATGTTATGACTTTTGAGTAAAACATGATTAAGGAAAAAAAGGCTGTATGGCTCGCACCAAAATGCAATTTGAATATGTACCTTTTATGGCTTTCTTGGCCAAAAAGGTTCGCGACCCCTGGACTATAGTTTATTATAACGTACATATACGAGAAAAATAATGAACGAATTATACGAAGAAAAAATAATGTTCCCAAGCACTATTGATTTGAATTCTATCACTGGCAACACTGTTTTGACTTTTCCCATTTTGGATTTCAAATCCAGGAAAGAATTTTTTTAGTTACCAATTATAACTGAATACGAGAGCAATGATCAAATAAATAAACACAAGGGTGATACTATCTGTTTCTTCGCTCGAAGGGACTAGGAAACACTCGCAGAAAATTTTAATATATTGGACGGGGTCGCGACCTTACAAGTTTGGTAAGCCCTGATATAGAGACTCAATTGGTCTTTAGAGCTTTACTTTTTACTCTAGTTGTATACCTATCGGCATTAACTTATTTGTCTCGTCTGCACTGTCGCAAAAGAGTTCTATAAAAACTAACAGGTTCCATAGTTTCAGAAAACCACGCCGAGCCTATATCTTTATAACAACACAAATACGTAATACGATAAGAACAACTTGAACGTCATATTCACTAATATATGCCACTCATTAGCTTTTCTAACATGACAAACTTTACATAAATCTAACGCATAACTTTAGAAACGGCAAATAAAAGGTCAGCCGCAGTGCACATTACCCATTTAACGCGATCGTCTAACTCCAACGTAATAATAAAATAACTGGTTCGCAGACTATCACGAAATTCTAACAACGTCCTGAATCACATCACAGCTAAAGTCGTATTGTATACAATTCTGAATCATTGCTACGTTAAAAAGTCATTAGACTCTTCACTTTATACATTGCAACCTATAGATGTGACAGACCAAACATGGCTTTTATAGCGGGTATTGCTTATATATTGGTTTTAAATCAGTACCTCGCGTGATTTATTGTGTTTAATCTTCTCCGACTTATTATGATTGAGTTCCGGAAGAGGATGGAGGTGGGTTGGAGGATTCAAAATATCACAACGTTCAGTTGGGCCGGTTAGAAATACTATTATGCAGAAAATGAGAAATGCTTAAATATATACACATGGTTGTTCGGCGCGGTACTAACAGCTGACAAGCGTTTGCTTCGGGTGTTTTAATAACCAAACACTAAGACCCAATAAAGGAAGTCTTAGTATATCGAAATTACCTATTCTTCCTGTCGAATGTAATTGCAGTCACCACAAGCATTAGGAAAACCGACCGACAAATCCCAGGATTTATACCAGAATGGCTCTCAGACTCGTACTTATTTTGTTTTGCGCTATATCGACTTCGGTGGAATATACTAAGGAATGAATATCATCAAAACCAACTGATTACTGCTAATTCACTCATCTTCGCTTCGTGGTGTGTCAAATTTAAAACTCAATCACTTACTGCGCAGTACTCCTTGATCATAGTATATATAGGACCCTATGTTAATATTCTCGGTTGTAATACGAGAAAACTCTTCTATCCCATATTGAATCGTGGTCAAACATCACTGAAAACCAATGAGCATATATACAATGAGTGGAAACTTCCAAATATTTGCTCATTAATCCATTGTGCCCTGCATTTTTTACGTCGTCCAGCTAAATGGTTCGTTGCATATGGAGAAAGCATATCGTTCGCTGCAAAAATCCTTTGCTTTGGCCGCGCCTGGTGCGAAATTGGCCGTATTGAGGCTTTTAATTTTTCGATTCGTGTTCGGTTTTGGGTTTCGAAGTATGGTACGTTGAAAGCATACTAAGCATATGCTTATTGGGAATGCATATATATTAGGCAGAAAACGTAGCTATAGCACAGAATATGAAGTCAAGTGCGGGTATTTCTAATTATAGCATGGGATTTAGGTACATATCTATCCAGGGGAAGCAAAAGCGATAAAAAGGCCTAAATGTATGGCGAACCACGGCTTCTCACAATCATAGTTTATAGGGTGCTCCATACGAATCCCCAGGGCTCCCCTATTTTAAATTACTCTGTCAGTCTGGGATATCTTGACATTAAAAACGAAGACAAAAAATTGGAAGAATAGCAGAAAATCGGCTTTCCTCTCCACCTGGGTAAATATGTTAACCCCATCTTATATCAATGAATACAATGCCCTTTACATGGGTCGCATTCCGTTTGAGAAACTTTTTTATGCGAAACTTCTTCCACAAAAAAGCAGCACCGTCGTTTTACGGTCGCGCATTATGGTTTCGTCAAAACGATATTATTCTGTGTATTATCACTGCAGCGCAATTAACACCGTCAGACTTTTTTATCTTTACGACATTTTATGTTTTTTAGTTGGCGCTAATAATGATAAAAGCGTGATTGTTATTCAGTAACGCGCACGTAACCGTCGTTTAGGGCGTTTAAAATGAAAGAAGGGTTATAAGCTAATTTAAGGACATTCTCTTTTATTTTAATACAAATACAGGGCGCTCCATAAAAGCAAAATAGAATTTATTGACATAAATATACAACGAGTTACGTATGAGAATTTTTTGTTTTGTTTCATTTTTGCGCCATCATATTTTTCAATTTCTAATTTTGCGTAAATCGCGTCAACATCGTTTTTGTAAATTTAGAAACGTTGAATCAGATAAGCAAGACATGTGAATAAGGTATTCTATGCAAATTTCCCGAGATATTGTGAAGAAATTATATTTTGACCACGTAGAAATGCCATTATTGCTGATTTATTCACGTGTTAAGTATCAGTGTTTGAAACCAAAGCTGAGTTAGGATAGGATAGGATTTACATATTTATCCCGGGGGAGAGGAAAGCCGATAAGACGGCTTATCCATATGGCGAACCACGGCCTCTCGTCCGGTTAGCATTCCAAGTCGGGTATGGGATTAGTGTTACTGTATTGTTTGTTTTTTCGGAAGCATGGACTTGGTGGTGGAGGAAGCCGTAACCGACCAGCGGTTACGTGAACCACCCAACGACGGCGAGGAGTCCACGTGAATACTCAACAATTTGAGGAGTTTTTTAATTATTATTTAATACGAAAGTAACACGGAAACGATATAAAATTAAAACATAAAAATGTCAACTATCAGCTTCACAAATATCGCATCCCAGGGTCAGTAAGGATAATATTGTTTGCTCAAAATTGGGACCGTAACTGTGATACAAATCCTACACAGAAGATAAAAATCAGAATAAAATTAATTTTTGTTGTGAATGCATTCCTTAATAGTTTTCTTTAACATTCTTCGCCGATAATCGTTAGAATATTCGAATAATTTTATATAAAAAAATACGATTTTGTCCACCACTAATCACGACGCATGTAAATAATCATTGAATGCCAAAAAAAGTCAACTTTATTAGCATTAAATCCCAAGTAAAAGTTCCACATTTGATGCATTCGATCGGCGCTACATGCGAGCGTGTTTTTGTATATATTCACCAAAACCGTCAGAGGCGAGCTACACGTAACTGTGGAATTTCGCTGTGAACGACGCATTGTTTTTAATTCATTATCCGCCTTACGCCGTCATGAATTGAACTTTTGGTGCACTGTTTTAAAACTACCGTAATCCCCCCCCCCCCCCCCCCCCCCGTTGGAAAAATCCTGGCTGCGCCCCTTGTCCAAGTTCTATATCTCACTATTAATTACAAATATATAATTGCATCCAAAATCAACAGTATCTATATATATATGACTATATGAAAGATCGTTAAAATTAAATAATATATATGCAAACATCATAACTGATAGCAAAATGTACTCTAAATAATATGATAAATTTTTTTTTGTGTAAATTCACAAGACATGAAAACGGCAAATTTCAAATTTCAATGGCAAGATATCCCAGAGTAATTTAAAGTTAAAATCAGTATTTTTAATAAGTAGTTTACAAAGTTCTGGCAGTCTGGGGGTTCATATGGAGCACAGAGCCATTTGGAGAGGCCGTGGTTCGCCATATATATTCAGGCTTTCCTCTCTCCCTGGATAAATATATAAGTCCCATGTTATATCAATGAATAAATACAGCAATAACCGCACCCCACGTGGCGACTGAATCATATTCTGTTCTGTAGCTACGTTTTCTGCCTAATAGATATGCATTCCCAATATGCATATGCTCCTAGTTAGTATGCTTTCAACGTACCATACTTCGAAACCCAAAACCGAACACGAATCGAAAAATAAAAGCCTCAATATGGCCAATTTCGCACCCAACCCAGGGATTTTTGCAGCGAACGATATGCTTTCTCCATATGCAACGAACCATTTAGCTGGACGACGTAAAAATGCAGGGTACAATGGATTAATGAGCAAATATTTGGCAGTTTCCACTCATTGTATATATGCTCATTGTGAAAACCAACCCACTACGCCTAAGTTATGCCTGCTTGCATCTTAATCAAAACTAATAGTTTCTAAGCTATGGTTACAAATTACAACATAGCTTGAAGCTCTAAGCCGTCGAGCTATATTGAAGACAAATGCCGAAAATCATTTCATAGAGTATTACTCAATATCACCCGAGAATTCTACCGTTTACATGCAATACAACATCACATCATCATGTGTGTTTCAAATGCCATGAAACAATGCAATGTTCATACAGAAAATTCTACACAAAATCACCCACGTTATCGCTTCTATATATGCATTCAACTTTTATTCTGAATATTATAATTGAATTTGTTTAAAAATAATATAGTAATACATGACAGTACTTGCATATTCTTACACTATGTGTAATTATTTAGTTAGTTAAGAAAAAGAAATATAATTTTTTTAAGTGGTTTGTGCGAACAGCGAACTAAATTAGATAGGGTAACAAAATCTAAGAGCTCGAATCGATTACCGACAAATACTTTTTTAATATTTCGTTTTCAAAATCAAGGCGGCGCTAATGAGTTTTTTCTGCTCAGTACAATACCAGCACTCCTCAGACCTCCATCATCCCCAAACAACGACTTGAATCCTTTATGCAAAACTAGTTATATATAGATTCATATGCGACATCTTGCTTCTGTGTAGTTGACCTGATATACCCTTTCTTGTACCCATCATCCAACCATTCGGTTTGTAAGTTCAGGTATCCAGCAGTTGTTGATCGTACTTCTTCATAACCATCAGCTGCTTGCTTGTTACGTACGTTTACGTTTCTTTGTCCGCTTTCTTGATCCTGAGCTGTTGTCCTGATTTGTACTTTATCGCATTCAACAGTTGTTGGTTGCATGGCTTCATACCCATCATCTGCTTGCTGGTTTTGTACGTTCATGTATCCGTCAAGTACTTGTTCGGTTTGTACGTACACGTATCCGTCAGCTTCTTGTTCGGTCTGTACGTCCACGTAACCGTCAGTTGTTGACCGTATCTCTTCATACCAAAGAGCTGACTGCATGGTCTGTATGTTCACGTATCTACCTGTTGCTGGTTGCACCGCTTCATATTCACCAGTTGCCCCAGCTTGAACTTCTTCGTAATCATCTTCACCTTAGTAAATAATTACCACATTTGTATCCACATGCTATTTGATGGAAACATCGATGCTAAATTTAGTAATAGAAATGGCTTAAGATTTCAACTAAACCAATTAGAAGCAATTATACCGTTGGCAGCTAATATATATCAATATATCAGAGAATTGCTCTGTCACCAAACCGTTGAGTAATTTACGAAGCTTCGAAAATTGGAATCTCATTTAGGGTGAATATTTGAGTGAGTGACTACTGCTGGTTGGTTACTGGTACCGCCACCCTAATCCATGTCTCAAGAAGAGTTAATTGTTCTCATATTCAGCATGGGCAGGGAAAAGGGCGATAGAACTCCGTTCATCACATGATTAAGCCACTTTGTCGGCTTTCGTCCCTCCCGAAACAAATATTAAAAATCCTATTAACTTACCTGAAGTCACGTTTCGTCCCATGGGGATAGCGTTTCTCATTTCAGACAAATTATGGATCGTCCTCGGTGCTGTGTTGGTATTTGATGTGAGTTGTAAACTGTGAAAAAGTGTAGTAGGTAATTTATTAATATTTGGGTATACACGAAGTATGCGTTCCGATTTTCCTTATTTTAGTTCTATTACGACTTCGGTGTCAGTGTTAGTCGAGTGGAATATCTGTCCATGTCCCTGTCCACAGGTTTCAGTCTTTTTACACAATTTGATGTGAAATAGGCGAACAAAATATTTGTGTTTCAATGTTTTTGGATGTTCGATTTTAATAAATTATTGGGGAAACTCTCAATATAACGACAACCAATAACTTTGATGAGTTTTGATGATACGAAGTAGTTTTGGGAAGCGATTGCATCAATAATGCCGAAAATATGGTCCGCAAACGCCTGTATTTTAACCAAAAACTGTCAGACCTAACTGTATATTCCGGGACGTAGTAGGGGAAATAAACTTCGTTGTTTTTATAAGAATATAATTGACTCGCATCGGCAGACTTTACCCTATAGAAGGGGTTGACAAATTAAGACCCGCGGGCCGGCTCGTGTCCACCAAAGTGTTTTATCAGGCCCACTCGATTCTGATAATATTACGACTGTAGTTTCTATGAATATAAATTTGCGTTTGAAATATCGATGAAAACAACGTCTTATGACCTCAATTGTTGCATTGTTCTTTTTATTATGATATAACCGCAGGCCTTGCTAATGTGAATAAACTATTCTAGTCACAGTTTTTCATATTGAGTTTTGAGACTCCGGCCTGGTAACCAAGTCTATTATCCGCAACTAGCCCACTGCGGAAAGTAATTGCTCACCCCCGCTCTAGAGTGTTGTAGAACTCACTCGCTATAGTCTACTCTATAGCACTAGCTTGATGCAAGTCCCACTCTACAGTAACACCAGATCAGATTTGGTAGAATTTAAATTTATCATTCTAATTATAAATGATATTCACCGTTTTTTCCTGAAGAATACAATTCCAGTCACGACCATGAGTGAAACACCGATAAGTATGAACAGAAGAAGGATTATTAGAGTTGTTAGACTCATTTCACTTGGTATTGGGGTCGTGCCAGTACTTGTGTTGACTGTTCCTGCTGAACATGAAAACATTTACAATTCATAAATAGGACTTTGAACAATCAGACACTCAGAGGAAGAAAGAAAGGGCGTTGTGAAATATTTTTGATTGGCGAGTAATAAAGTACAACTGTCATGTGTTGTGACTTTGTAACGTGTCCGGTAGATGACGTTTTGATTGGCTGCTTTGTAAGTCCGCGTGTTTGTGACGTAATCATGTTTAGGCCAATCACACCTCAAATCATTTAGTAGGTGTGCATTTACTGTTAAACTGTTACCGTTCGACCCAGTTATACTGTTTGTATCTTAATTTGAGTAAATAAATAATACCGTGTTTCCCCGAAAATAAGACTGGGTCTTATTTCAATTTTCTTCTGAAAAATAACACTGGGGCTTTTTTTTGGGAAATGTCTTATAATTCCATTTATCAAAAACAAATTCATATTAGAGAACTACGATATATTCAATATACAAAATCTGATATTCATTTACTTATAAATAACACTTCATTTGCTTATAAATAACACGTTAGATAGAACATAGATTGCCAATCATTTAAAACGTGTAGGAGCGATTTCCTGCTATCGACTAGGTAAAAAAAAAATTTTGCGTTATTGATGACTACGTCTTATTTTAATGGGAGGGCTTATATTTGATATATATATATATTCGTAGCATATTCTGGGCTATGGTAGATATGGGGTTAAGGCAAATGGTTAAAGTAATGATATGAAGTAAAATTCGTGGTATGTTCAACGTAAATTAATCTGATAATCAAAGTCAAATTGTTGAAATAAATATAGCTATATTACTTTCCAAAGACTCTGTGAGAGATGTATCTGTCGTTGCTTTTGCCCACGCCTCACCACATTCGATGAAATTGTACAGGATTTTGAAGCCTATACTAGATTGATTCAAACCCGACAACAATCCTTTGGAAGTATATCGAATTGTAACACCCGGAGAGAATGATTGATTGGTGGATCCAGCGTCACATGAGTTAGAATCATAAAACACCAATGGAACGTATTGATTCTGGTAGCCAATGTATCTTTTGCAGTCTTGTTTATCTATAATAACGAGATTATTTTAGTGTTGGATAGATAAGGTATAATATTGTTTATTACAAATTAAAATAATTCATGGATTCCCAGGGAAATTACCAAAAATGTGATGTCATTATACATTATGAATGACGTCATAATATAAACGTGACGTAATAATACAGCACTTGCGATATATTATTGAAATTGTGATATGATACATAGACGTACAACTCGCCAACGTACCATTGTTTATAAAAAGCGAATAATTTCCGGAACAATCTTTCTCTAACTTTTCAACAACAAAATAGAGTCGTTGATAAATAATCGTCAGACCGAGACTGTAATTCTTCCCATCTACGGAAGGCTTGAACTCCCATAAGCATGAAGCTGATTTTCCGTATTCGTTTGGGGGATAATTCGGAGAGGTTATCTCGCCCATACCTTTCCTTATAAGCATTGAAGTATTATTGCATTGGCAGGATACTGGCCGCAGTGTTCCTGTGAGGTAAAAAAAAATTTTGCGTTTCAACCAGCAATGTGAGGGGGAGCGTATTTTTACTGCAAACAGAGTCATCACATAACTCTAGACCAGTGGTTCTCAAACTATTCGAGCCGCGTCTCCCTTTGCAAAATTGTGAAGAATTTGCGCCCGCTTTTTTGCTTTGAAACGAGGCCAAATGCTTTTTCAGATGGGCAGGATGCTTTATTTTAACGGTGGGTTATTACGCAAACAGTTTTGTGGCAGGTTTTGATTCAATATAATTTTTCAAAATTTTTGACGTTTACCGCTTGCATAAACTGAACTTCGTTTCCGAGACTCAAATTTTTAAAAGTCAACCCTGCCGAAAACGAATTCAAATTAGTATGTTTATACACTATCTTCAACACTTGGGGGCAAAAACGATTATCATCATATCGCTCCAGGAGCGAAATAAGAAGTAGGCTCATTAGCGCCAACAAATGGCAAATTCAATATCTAATATTTTCTTTTAAAATGCATTCTCAATACGTTCGTATTAGAAAAAAAATTGCGTGTTCCAGTTATAATTCTTCTCGATTTGCTGAGTCTTGTTCCAGTAAACACCTACTCACAAAAACGTTTTTTTGTTGATAATTTGAAATGGTTATTCATCCATATCAGTGGTTCTCAAACGGTTGGGCGCCCCCCACAAGGTGGACGTGGACAATTTTTGAGGGAGTGTAAAACATATTTGTCAGATTAGATCGTGCCCGCCTTATTTTAGATATTTACATTTCTTTATTTAAGATATTTACGTTCCATCCAAGTATTTTGTAAATAAAACATACTTACGCCTTACTATCTGTTATTTGAAGCTTATTGTTAGCTAGTTATTTTTGAGGTGGGGCGCGCAACTTGACCAAATTCTAACAAGGGGGCGCGGCATAAAAAGTTCGAAAACCACTGATCTATAAATTTTTAAATAGATTCGGATTAAATATTTTTCATTTTTTAGGATAACGCTGTAAGCCAGTTGGTATCATTGCGTTATTGCTCAGATTGTCAAAGCATAAACTTACGACTTCACCATTCACTGTCGTATGTAAAAGCCATACTTAAGTTAATCGTAACCATACTTTCTCTTATTTCCGCTCATTTTGCAATACCTGGTTAAGTCAAATTAAATTGTAACCTAAACTAAACGTATGCTTTTTGAGCCCCAACGTTTACATAACACGCGTAAAACCTCAATCAAACGTTTACATCATAACATCACTATTGAGCTATTCAAAAATCCATTAGTTTCTCAGAATACACAACGATTACAGACTTCTTAGCTCGCTTAACTTGTCTAGATTAAGTACCAATACCTTCTGACAAACACCAGCTTGAAGTGCAGATAAATATATGTACATTTTCAGCATTAAGAAAAGCAGTTCATTTTCTAACAGTTATTATGCAGATGGACACCTTCCCCAACGCTTGACAACTGGAAATTCTCCATATACTTTACCATTGCAAAATTATGAACGCTCATTTTGGGAATGCTTTGGAGGGTTAGCGCTTACAAGCTGGCTCACATGTTCGAAACTATCATTCATAATCGAAACATTAAACCACGTGTCGCTTACATGTACTGAATACTGATAGCTAATTTTAGGCTAGTATTTCGCAGCGCTTGCGGTATCAATTTTTAATTGTTGTCCCTAAAGTAAAGGTCCTCGGAAGACATAATGGTAATTACGTTATTTGATTTACAACTATTTTCTGAAAACACATTTGAAAACTGACAAATAACACGCAAAACCACGAAAACGAGGCAATGTTTACAACCATACTTGAATATCTGACTGACCGAGTGTCTGTGTCTGAGCGACCGCACAAATTGCAATTGTCACGCCATTGTTGACTCATTGCTAACTTTTTTAACGTGTGTGGTCACGCATGCTTACTATATTTCGTCGCGCGTAGTTTATTGTGACATTGGAAGGAAAGGGTCATTGTGCATGCGTATAAACAGCACATTATTACATCATTATAAAACACAAGAAACAAGACTAAAAGTTGCGTGGAAAATTTGAAGTTGAAGTAAGCGAGAAAAAAAGTCTGAGTTTGGTCCTGGGCATCTTGTGACCTCTCGAGCGCCCCAGTTCAAGAACCACTGCTCTAGACGGAATCTAGATCCCTGGAATCAAGGTGTTTGTAGATATTAGGAGTGCAATGTGGTGTTAAAATCTGCATTCTCCAGGAAGCAGGAATCGGAGGCAATTTGTATTTTTTAAATTCGGTGCGGGTATCTGTGGTTGGAATTTATGTCCCCCCATCTCTATCAGGGGTGAGATTTTCGAATTTATTGGAACCTGAACCTACTTTTTCTACATTCTACTATCCGTAATCAAAATGTTCCCCTCACCTGCAAACAGCACCAACAACATGAACTTCACTGCGGCCATTTATAATGTAAAAGGAGCGACCAAAATTAATTTTTGTTAACTAGTTTGTGTGATGCCTGTAAACTTGAAAGTTCTTTGAAACGATTGAATTCATTTAATCATTTTAAATGCATTCATGTGTAATTTACTTAACATACACTTCAAGGAGTCCATTTATAGTCTGATATAAACTGTCAGCGTAGCGAGGACATTAACTTTTAAGAACAGGTTCTTTGTGTATTAAACTGATTAACATGTTCCATATTTTAAAAAAACTACACCGAACTTTTAGCTCTACAACTGGCATGGGCAAAGTACGGCCCGCGAGTCAAATCCGGCCCGTTGCTTAATTCAATCTGGGCCGCCTGGTCACTCAACCGTGACGACAATTTTTGTCATAAACTTCAATTCAGTCACCTTGTATAACCCAAATATGGCATCTCTATCTAATACCATTCTCGATTTATGGCCTTAAATTATTATTTTTTCTAGTCATGCCCATGTCTTTAGATCAGGGGTCGGGAACCTTTTTGGTCAAGAGCCATAAAGGGTACATATTTTCAACTGCATTTCCGTGCGAGCCATATAGCTTTTCTGCACTTAATCAGGCCTGGAACTTTTAATCAAAAGTCAACACACACAATGTCAATATACATTTAATGTGACTTCTGATACTGCATGTTGTCGCTCACATGCAACCGTTCGTTAAAATCTACGATACTCATCACCCTTATTTCGTTTAGGCATCTCCGTAGTATTTTGAAAACTAGATTTGCTCGTCCGCTTTAAATGTGACGAATACTGTAACTAGTACGTACAAACGGACGAAAAGCTTTATTCTATTGCTCTGCGACTATATCGCCTTGTGAGGTCACCAAATATGTTTCAGAATTCCCTAGTTTTGTCGCAATACCTGTCTGGTAATTTTCTTAGGTCACATAGACAACGCTGGACAATTTTTTGTCAAATTTGGTTATAAAAAGAGTTTGAAATCTGGTAACAATAGTAAGCTTAGCTTTAGAGTACTAGATTTTTCTGGGAGCCATATGCTGTCACCAAAAGAATCATATATGGTTCGCGAGCCATGAGTTCCCGACCTCTGCTTTAGATTCTCAATAAGACCTCACAGAGCCCTGCAATAAGCCCAAATCACTGGAGCATGACTGGGGGACAGGAGAAAAAAATTTATTGTTTACAAAATGGAACTTTTTAGTTAAACTTGTATGGCCCCGCCAGTCTAGTTGGGCAAAAACAACAACCTTGTCTATCCTTGCTCGACAACAACTCAAGAGCGTAACACGATAAGAACAACTTAAACATCATATTTAGTATTATATATCAATCTTTAGCTTCTTTAACAAAACAAACTTTACATAAATAAAACGAATAACTTTAGAAATGCAAAATGAAACGCTAGCCGTCAGCGGTTTGCATTACCAATTTACTGCAGTCGTCAAACGTCTAAAATGAAAAACGATTATCACGAAATTCCAATACCGTCCGGGATCTCATTGTTGGTATAGCTGTACTAAAGATCATTCTGAATCATTGTCAACTAAATATTATCTCAATACATTAAACTATTAAATATTTTATATTGAAATGTATAGATACAATAGACCAAACATGATAGTCATAATGAGGAATGCTTATATATTAGTATCATATCAGTACCTCACGTAATCGATCGTGTTTAGTCTGATCCGACTCACCATGATGGAGTTCCGGGCGTAAAGGAAGCGCTAAGAGTGATAATATCACAGCGTTGAATTGGACCTGTTGAGTTTATTATTATGCAAATAAAAAAAATGATAACATACATAGACATAGTGCCAGGAATATACGCCGTTTTTGAGCACTTCAAATCAATCGTCGATAACCACTTGGTTGCGCATTTACGTAAACAACGGAATCCGTAGCATAGCAATCGATTTGCCGAAGTTAAATAAAATATACAAACAACAGAGCGATGTTCAAATATATGGACACGAAGCCATAACGTACCTCAAACTTCACGGACTACTGCGAACGTAACCGCCACAAGCAATTTGTGCAGTAGTTGAAAGGAAAAAAGATTTTTGACACATAAACTTGGGTACACAAATGTCAACCGCGGTACTACATCTGACTGGCGTTTCATTGGCGTATTTAATTAATCGAACTCCGCGAGCCAATAGAGGAAGTCATTAGTAAATTCAAATTACATATTCTTCCTGTCGAATGTAATTGCAGTCACCACAAGCATTAGGATACCGACCGGCAAGTCCCTAGAATTGATCTCATATATTTATTTTGCGCTACATCGACTCCGGTAGAATATACCGAGGAATTCATAATCATTTAAACCGATTGATGGCCCCAAATTCAGTCATCTTCGCAAATTTAACTCAATCACTTACTGCGCGATATGATATGCCTTGATCATCGTCATCATAGTATCGTTACCGAGGAACGAAGCTTAAGTTGATATTCTCGGTTGTAGGACGAGGTTCTATCTATGGGGTCCATTTTTTGTTTGTGATGACGTCATCAAAAATTGCGCACCTTGCGGCGGTTACGTTTGCGTTAGTCGTGAAGTTTTCACTGTACGTTTTGACTTCGTGTCCACATATTTGAGCATCGCTCTCTTGTTTGTATATTTTATTTAACTTCGGCAAATCCGTTGCTATGCTACGGATTCCGTTTTTTACGGAAATGCGCAAACAAGTGGTTGCCGACG